CTCTCATCTTCGAGACCCAGTAGATCGCTTCACATCCGGTGCCTTCTCCGTCCAAATCTTTTCAAGACAAAGGTGCCACCGCTCAAATACAACGCCTTGGACTTGTCCAACGCTAAATTGCCTTCGTCACATCGCCACTTCACCTTTTCTAACGCCATCTCTGGGCTAATACATTTATCGGGAGGACATGGCCTTGGTAACAAGGCGCTTAAGGGCAAGCTCCTGCTTCTTGAGGTCCTCGGCAGAGCTTTCGGTGATTTCAAGAGTAGCCATGGCTTCGGAGATGGTCTGCTCAATCTTCTCCTTCTGGCCACGCTTGAGCTTGAGAGACAGAGTGGGGTCGGTGACAATCTCCTCCACACGGCCAATGTAGGACTCGAGCTGCTGCTTGGCCTCAAATCGCTTGCTGAAAGCCTCATCGTTGCTCTTGAAGGCCTCAGCGTCAGAGATCATCTTCTCGATCTCACCAGAGGAGAGCTTGCCGACAGAGTTGGCAATGGTGATGTTGGCACTGCGGCCAGATGTCTTCTCAGTGGCAGTGACCTTCAGGATACCGTTAACATCCACCTCGAAGACACACTCGAGGACGGCCTCGCCAGCACGCATGGGAGGAATGGGAGCAAGAGTGAACTCTCCCAGCGAGGTGTTGTCCTCACAATTGACGCGCTCACCCTGGTAGACGGGGAACTGAACGGTCTGCTGGTTGTCGGCAACAGTGGTGAAGGTTCTATTCAGGGAATTGTCAGTAGCTGCTATTGATGGCTGATGAGATATGGGCAACACTTAGATAAAATAGCGAAATGCGGATGAACCAAAAACGGGTTTCTAGCATTGACGGGCAAGAACGCTTGCGGTGAATCAGGATATGGAGGAAAGGACAGGGGGTACTTGTCAAGGTTGGACAAATAACGTTGTGAAACTGGTGAGGGAAGGCAAAGCATGAGAGATAATAATTCATTACCTTTTCTTCAAGCAAGGTACAGTCGTAGATCGACTTATAACTGGGGCGAAGATGTTGCCCTCCATAGCGACACCGAGAGACAGAGGGACGACATCGAGAAGCAGGAGGTCAGAGGTATCAGCGGAGGTGGCCTTGCCCGAGAGAATACCGGCCTGGACGGCAGCACCGTAGGCAACAGCCTCGTCGGGGTTGATGCTCTTCTCAAGTTTCTTACCATCGAAGAACTCAGACAAGAGCTTCTGGATCTTGGGGATACGAGTGGAACCACCAACCAGAACGATCTCGTCAACAGCAGACTTCTCGATGGCAGCATCCTTGAGAACCTGAGCAACGGGCTCGAGAGTGCCAGCGAAAGCCTTGGCATTGAGTTCCTCGAAACGGGCACGGGTGATGGTCATGGTGAAGTCTTCACCATCGAAGAGAGAGTCGATCTCAATGGTGGCCTGGGCACCGCTGGACAGGGTACGCTTGGCACGCTCGCAAGCAGTACGGAGTCTTCGCAGCGCACGGGCATCACCACTAAGGTCCTTCTTGGTTTTGCGCGTGAATGCTGTGCGGCAATGTTCTAACAGGTTCGTATCAAAGTCTTGGCCACCAAGATGGGTGTCACCAGCGGTAGCCTTGACGGTGAAAACACCGCCCTGGATGTTGAGAAGAGAGACATCGAAAGTACCACCGCCCAAATCGTAGATCAGGACGTTGCGCTCCTTCTCGGACTTTCCAGAGCCCAGACCGTAGGCAATAGCGGCAGCAGTAGGTTCGTTAATGATACGAAGGACGTTGAGACCAGCAATAGCACCGGCATCTTTGGTAGCCTGACGCTGGTTGTCGTTGAAGTAGGCAGGAACAGTGATGACGGCCTTCTCGACCTTCTTACCGAGCTTGGTCTCGGCAATTTCCTTCATCTGTGGGAGTTGTTAGTCCAAGCTTGCCCAGGTAATCTAGGAAGAGACACAAAAGCCCGCAATCGGGCAGTGGGTGAAACGTACCTTGGTGAGGACCATGGCAGAGATCTCCTGGGCAGAGAACTCCTTCTTTTCGCCGAGGTACTCGACCTGGATCTTGGGCTGGCCAGCATCATCAATGATGGTGAAAGGCCAGGACTCAATATCCTTCTTGACGGTGGGGTCATCGTAGCGGCGACCGATCAGACGCCTGAAGGCATGTTAGCGATTGAACGGCCATAAGAGGTGGCACCGTCGAAGCATCAATCCGACGGCGACATCTTTGTTCTTGCATCAAAACTCACTTGGCATCGAAGACGGTGTTCTTGGGGTTCATAGCGGCATTGTTCTTGGCAGCATCACCAATCAAACGCTCCTTGTCGGTGAAGGAGACGAATGAGGGAGTGGTGAAGGAACCCTGCTCGTTGGCAATGATTTCGACATTGGTACCCTCGTAGGTGGCCACGCAAGAGTAGGTGGTACCTATACCGGATTGTTAGCACGTCGTAGTCTTCAGTTACTGATGATGAAAATTCTCCATATCCACGCGCAAAGCCTTGCAGCGAAAAACGGAGCGTGACCGGTCATCAAAAACGAAACATCTCGGCCGCACGGCATTGGCCCAACAAGGGGCTGAAAAACAAGGTCAAGCTACGCACCCAGATCGATACCAATGGCACCGTCGTAAACTTCGTCGCCCATTTTGAAATGTGTCTGAACGGAGGAAGGAGGAGAGAGTTTGTCGGGTGTCGAAAACGACTGAAGAGGATGGGAAGAAGAGAGATTGCGAGGAGGAAAGGCGGAATGTAGTGGGGTATGTCGGTGTAGAAATTCTTTCTTCCCTCAGCCAAATTTTTTGTGAATTTTTTTTTTTTCGGGCCACCCCAAGAACTTTTTTTTTCCCCTCGACTGCTTACTCGCCTTTGGCCGGGGACCCGCTTGAGATGAGCAAGTGGGGTGGGGTAGCCGAGCCAGACGACCAGAGAAGGGTCCTCGAGGCTGCGCTAGCCCCGTTTTGGCCAAAGTTGGGGCCTAATATTTCAGGAACAAACGAATGTGCAAAAGGTTCAAGCACGCGTAGACTGAAGGCTGATACTGTCTACTTTTATTTTTCGCCTTCTTCTTTGCATATATTCCGTTCTTGATGCAATGCGCCTCAGCTCCCGTTATCGAAAGGCATAGTTCGCTGAATAAGAGCTCCTCCATCGAAGTTTTGCAACCTGGCTGAATATAAGTTGAATAACTAGCGGCTGCTCCTGAGTACTGATTTGGCTCAACGCCCTCATGGCTCAAACATGCCCTATGACTGGCAGTGGACTCGCCTCGACTCAAACTGGAGGCTCTCACCTTGTAAATAGCTTTGCGCGCCGGTTGATGTCCGCCGGTTGATGTCCGCCGGATGCCCAAGACCATGGCATTGACGCTAATACGCTATCCGATGGCTTTTGTTTGCCGGTAAATCGAGACCCTTGTTCTGCAATGCCGGTGAATCCAAGGACATCTGACTTTGTCGGCTTCTAGATGGCTCTATTGCAATATGGCGTGAACCATTACCCTCAATGACAGTCAGTGGTACATTCTCAATGGAAGCTGGCCCCATAGTGAATGAGCTGCAGGTCGCAGACAGCAGGAGGAAATGGTTCCCTTCCCCATTTCGTCTATTGGACCTTGTACTCGAACATACTTTTCGCTGTTCGTACAAATCAAACAAGTCGGTCAATCACTGCAGCATTCACTCAAAGCGGCAAGACCGGTGCCCTGTGTTTTTTTTTCTTCCTTTTTTTGTGATGAACAAGACAACTCTTCGGGAGGTCTCGAATCGTACGACAACCCAAACGAAAACTATGACGAGAATTTCTGCTCCCAGAACAGGTTCTCACAAGCTTGAGACACAGTAACAGTAACATCTTGAAGCCTTGTGCAAACCTCCTTACTCTCAATGCGCTCGTTGATTGAGGTTGGTACATATGCTTTGAAACCTTGCTACAGGCACTGTAAGGCGAGAATTCCCAAATTTGAAGCATAGGCTGCTTCCACCCCCATGAGAAGGGCGACCCGGGGCTATGACTTCCTGCAAATACGTCCCCAGGGTTGACCCGCGTCCTACCGGAGCTGAATGAATATCGCGGCCCAGTCTGACCCCATCTTTTGAATGCAGCCTTCGACGAGCCGCGCGGCATATTCGACACCCGAGCGTGATGGCCTCTTCCCTGGACGCCGACTCCGTTAACTGCCCTTGCATGTCGATTAAGACCTGAAGACAGCGAAGAAGTAGAAAGCCGCAAAATTATGCTGTTCGAGCAGGAATAGAAAGCAGAAGGTGTAGACAATGTATGAGATAACCAGAGCGAGTCACACAAGAACTACTACTTGTAACCGGCATGGACTGTGACCTGAGCGAGCTAGGACGCAGTACACAAATATAACACAGCATAGTACAGAATCTATTACAGCTTCTGCCCAGACCGAGTGGGACCGCATCTCAACAACCGGCACTTCGATGTGGATCTCTTGAATGGGTTTGTAGTTTGTTGACAGTTCTTTCATCTCGCCAATTCACTTCGTTGTATAACCCCTCATTCAGTTCTGGCCCCACAGCTCTCAAACGCGTCTTGTATATATTTGGTCACTTATGTCCCCAATTCCCTCTCCCAGTTATCCTCCTCTTCCGATGACACTATAACCACACATCCTCCATCGCCGCTCTCCCCAGGCTCCGTGTCTCTGCCAATGCCCATCATCCCTGACTTCACGTACAAGTCCTCTGGCACCAACTCCCAGGTTCGTAAGCGCGTAAAGTGCTTGCTAATGTGGTGGCAAAAGAGCCCAGATCACACCATTGCCGTTGCGTCTCACGCATCTGTCTTCTTATTCTAGCCGGCACTCTCATTGGTGCGATTGGCAGAGAAGCTCTGAATATACCGTTCCATTCATCAATTTCTCTGATATAAACAAGTCTTTCGTACACTGTAAACGTTTCAAAACAGATAACTTGCCTGCCTTGACACCCTTTCCCCCAACCCACCTTCACATCTCCTGTGACCAAATTCCCACACTTTTGTTGCCCATCCATCCTGCGATTGGCTGCCGTCCCATCATCCATGGACGGAATAATACACAACCAACGAGATAATCAGCCCGATATACAGCACTCCCTCGACCCAAAGCTGCTGTTTCAACGTGCTCCTCTGCTCCTGCGTCAGGCAACCCCTCTCGCCCTTGCCGTACCACGCAATCGTCGCGTCAAACTTTCCGTACAGTGCCAGCACCCCAATCGGCGGGAAGAAGACAGCCATGACAAAAATAACCAAAAACACGCGCCGTTGCTGCGCGTCTTCCTCTGGGCACCGGCGGCGTCGGCACAGAATATCCTCCCTGGCGGAGTGGATGAGGTCTGTTTCCGAGGGGGTGAGAAGGCCGTGCTCGGGGTGCGTGCGAGAAGTGTGATTGGGACCGTCTCGACGCTCGCGAGTGGTTCGCGCCGAGAAGCCGCTGAGGCGGAAGAAGCGCGCGCTGAGGAGCGATGTGTTGGTCGGCAGGGAGTTGCGGAAGAATGAGCCGGAGTGGGTGTCGATAATGGCCGACGAGTTGAGCTGCCCTTGAGTTGGGTCGTATGCTTCACGGAACAGGGTTAGTTGGAACTGAGGCTTTACACGAGACATTGCATGGCGGGGGGAACTCACGGAGAGCTCGCGCTGGGCTGTGTCGGTGGTACGCCCGTGGTGGTCTGGGGATGCCACTTGCGTCCGGGATGTCTCCAACGGGCGTGGTTGGGGTTTTGGGCCCGTACGAAGAAATAGTACTGATTGTGCCGGAACGTGCTTTGGCGTCGCACATGGATCCGGCTGTGGTGTAGTCTGCTTCGCCTCGGGTGATGCCGTGCGACTGGCGAAGGGCTGCTTCTTGGAGACTTATAAGTGGGAACGGAAGGCTTGGGAAATTATGGTCAGCCGAGGTGTTTCTGGGGGCAAAGTCTCTGGATTTATATATCATGTCTCCGTCCTGCGTTCCGAGACCAACAATGTCCCGTGAGTCTTGTCTGCGTCGCGGACTGGACCACTTGCTGTGTCGGGGGGTGACGACTTCCACAACAGTGTCGGGAGACACGGGAGTGGTTGTGTCAAAATTGTCCTGCTCCGGCTCCGAGTCTAGACTGCTGTAACTCATCATTGGTTTGCGCATCTGGGACAGTTTACTCGAGAGCTTGGGTCTGTTCGAGGCATCGGTTGACAGACGGCTGAGATGCCGGACTGTAGCCACAGGACGAGCAGAAGCCACTCGGCTATTCCTGTACGTCGGCTGCGAGATCCCACGGGACAATGTGCGGCGCTGGGTTGCGTTGGAATACACGTTCCCCTCTAGATGAGTCTCACGAGAATGCTGCGAACCTGCAGTAGCCCCGAGGAAGTGATCAAACGATTCATACTCGGGCCCATCTGACACATCGGCCAGACTGCTTCCTACATCTTGATCCAACCGAAGCGTCAGCTCCAAGGCCCCGTGAGGAGTTTGTTCCGTTGTAATCGTCTGCCAGTCGCTGCCTGCATCTTTTTCAGCCGCTGTCTTGTTCACCAGCTGAGCGAGCTCGGAGAGCGGGTGCTCGTTGGTACTTGGACTGAGATTAGCGCGCTTAATGACCGGGACTTTGACCGCATCATCGACTTTCTAGGTTGATTGAATGGCGGCATTGTCATAAAACGATCCTAGCTGAAACTCCCTTTGAAAAATGCGCCGTTCACTCCTTTGCGGAGAGTAGACGGGCGTGCTCTGGGCTTCGCTACAATTTCCCGCTCCGTAGAGAGCTCTGCTGACTTCTCTCTCGGCGGAGGGCTGGAGAAACATGGAGTAGCCCGCGCCGTCAAATTTGAAAGGGTCATTGCTCGCTCGGCTGGAGGACTTGGAGTAGCTGGCTACCAGTTCACCATGAGCGTTGCGATCATACCCCAGTGTAGCCGGCCGGTTCTTGGTCAGAGTGCGAGAGGGTTCAGGCTGGCGGCCCTGCTGCTGGTTTTGGTCGGTGATTTTGGGGAAAACGGAATCGTCCTCATAAACGCTAAGTGCTCGCGGCGGCTGAGAAGCACGCTTGGGTCGGTTACTGGTGTGCATTGTCAACGTACGAGCCAAGTTACGAGACGAGCTTGTCGGCATGAGAGCAGTGGTTCTATGTTGCGTGTGCTCTGCAGCTTGACGATCACGGCCCAGGGCATTATGAGTTGGGTATGCCCTGCGGCCGTTTTCCAAACGCTGTCTGAGATAGATACTGGGTCTGAGAATGACGTCCTCATCAGGCGCGACGGTTTCCCACTCAGAGTTTGTATTGCCGTCATCTTGAAGAGTGGGCTTGAGGTAATGAGAGATGCGACTTCGAGTAGACTGTGACGGCTTCCATGAAGGGTGCTCTGAAACGAAGCCTCTTGCTTTGGACTTGGCAATATCCCGAGTTTCGAGATTTTGGAGTTGGGGGATTTCGTCTTCGCAAATGGGGTCGGAGAATGGGTTAACGCGCTCCTGCGACATTTTGCTTGTTGGCGTCTGATCCGACCCATTGATAGTTTGAGTTATGTCGGTCCACTGAACAGGTTACTTGACGGTTAGTATTTCATCAGGGCGTACGTTAATTAGGAGTGAAACATACATCACCAGAGTCTGGTCCCATGCTGCTCGCAGCACTCGGCACTCTTGAATTGAGCGCCGAGTATGGTAGTCTTCTCCACAGTGGTGTCGTATACCGCTTGTCATTGATAGTACCGCCAGTGACTAGAGATGGTGAAGTGATGAGTCTCTCACTCGACTTTACATCTCCCCTGTGCTGCCAGGAGTGGGATCTGCGGCAAACAGTGCAAGTTGTCTAGTGACGTGAACACAGCTGCCCTCCAATTAGCACTACCACTCCCCGGCTCTTGATCACAGGAAAACCAGAGACCCTGGCTTTGGGCAAAGTTTCCGTCCGTCGATGGTGGATTGACGAAGTTGTGGAAGTCAAAGGTCAGCTAAAGGTGGCAACTTTGTGGGCGGTCGAAATTTTCGGTCGCACACAAGCAAGGCCAGGTGTTCGAAATAAAAAAAGAGATAAATAGCTAAATTTACGCAAGCCAGTCAAGTATCTTACATGAAAGTTATTTCTTATTACGATTAAATATTATTTTATCCGCCATGGCAAGTAGCAAGAAAGAGTCAAGTGGAAAACCAGGTTAAAAGAACATTTAATTCTGTGAATATATTATAAAGATTTAAGAGTTAAGTAATTATTAATTAGAGTGTTTATATTAAAATAAATATTTTACAGCACCCCGTGGACTCCCAATCTTTTTAATACATCACGTGCGGCTTTTCTCGTCGTCCGTTTGAAGTTCCAAATGCTCCAGCACCCAAGAAGGCAGCCCATACTCTTAGCTTCTGAGATGGCCATATCGACAAGGTCAATCCAAGACAGGGCCGTTGCAGTGATTCAATTTGCCAGTTTCTTTTCGAGACACAACTACGAATGGCATTGGCATATATGGAGCGGAAACTTCCGAGGTTGAAGATTCATCTGTTCGCCGAGGATTCTCGCGACACGTAGTTATGTACTAAGCTGGCGCCAACCGGATCCGCTGGAACTGGGGCTTCGTTAGCGGACGCGTGGAGACGGCGGATGCACGACACTCCATCCATCCAAACTAACAGGGGCACCTTGGCCAGGAGACGGGTTAGACAGCCAGGGGAATCTGCTGTTTTCAGCGAGCCCCATAATGGCAAGATATCGTGTGTTTCATTCCGTGCCTCGATGTACAATGCTCTGTTCCCAGGCGGAATGCCGGACGAGACTGCTGCCACGTTGTCAACATCCATGCCATGTCTCTCGTCTTGGCGTCTCCCATCTTATGTACACACACAACTACTTGGGTTAGGTAGGTACTGCATGCGTATGTACTATGAAAAAGTAGTTCATCGTGGGTTCGTGGGGTTTGTGGATCGGGACCACTCCAACAAATCATTCTTCAATCGAAGTCCTACAGAGCCAGTGACATCTTTGGGTTTTGCCCGAGTGGGTAGTGGCGTGGTGAGGGAATTGTCGAAAGAGTAGATCTGTGCTTTTGACCTAATTCGACCAGATTCTCTCTTCTACTGGGAGACAGTTTTCGCTCATGAGGAACCACCGAGCGAGTGCTTCAGAACCCGCGTAACTCGACTCGACCCCGTAAGCAGTCTGGTGGCTTAAACAGGGATTGCCTGGCACAAGGACTTGCCAATGTGGTGACAAGAGTCAGCACTGCTTGGCTTGGTCCAGAGACAGTTAGCGTTGCCCCCCCTGAATAGGGAGCTTCATAGAATCTGGGGTGGTTCAAGGTCCCTTTTCTCACAGTACATCAGAGGAACACGGCCGAAGAAACTTGAAATCACGCCCGACTTGATAGATCGATACATGCGTATGTGAATCGCTCTTTGAACCCCAGTGTGACGGGCAATCATCTCCTTCGGCCGGCAGTGTCTTCAGACCATCTTGACATGATGATCCCTACACGCAGACCTCAGAACCAGGTGATCCCAGATGAATGCCGCACTAAGTTTCCCGTCCCCTGCGCGGCCCGCCCTCCACGTTGGATGGCTTCCTATAGGCACGTCTCTCGGCTCGGCTGGTCCTGCTCCACGGAGAAATAGTCAGGGCTCTGAAACTGCCATCTGGAGTGGCTAAACAAGTCAAGTACGTGCCGAAAAAGTGCGTGCGTGGCCTATGCTTCTAGGCCAGTCCATTGTCGGTGAAATGGGGCGTCGACTCGAGGGGCCCGGATCCGAGCTTTCCATCTCCCACAGATTATGTGGCATCGAGGTTCCTCCATCGGAATCAGCGCGCACCCATTCGTGGATACATGGTCAGCAAGCCACTGGTTCGAGAAAGCGAAGACATGATCTGCAGACGCTTGTCCTTGGTGTGCCTGGTGGTGATTCGAAGGCAAAGGGGCGGACCTTACCAGAGCGGCATGGCGGCTCATGGTCAATTCCTCTCCGAGTTCAAGTTTGCCGCGGCCATCCTACCGGGCGGCGACCAACACAAGCTCGATCGCTCCTTCCTCAAGTCTGGATCGACGCCCCTTCCCTAGCAGGCCTCGATGCCTTCAACTTGAACACACCCAACACCACAGCAAGCCCGGAACCCGCAACACGTGAGCTTGTACCTTGGACACTTGATACGTGAGAGAGTGAAGACTTGAGCAAGCCACATTCTTGACAAGACCAAATCCCCCCCGCGGGCCCACATCCCTGGCCATTGGCACCGACTACACCATCCAAACTCGTCCTGCGCTGCCCCTGCCTAGAAGGCAACTCCGATTTTGCTGCCGCTGCAGCGGGTTGCAGGCAACTTGTCTTCATTCCTCTCTCTCCTCTCTCTCGTCCCGGAACCATTTCATCCATCCAATATTCTTCCTTGCCTTGATATTGCCACCTCTAACCTCGGCTTTCTCGTTTGCTCGCCACGATGTGCCATGGCTTCGTCCGGGAATCCATCGCGATGGGACGAGCTCCCGGATGAGCTTCTTCTCCTAATATTAAGCTGTAAGCTTCTGCCCCTTCGTCCTTCGTCCTCGGCCTTCAACACCTACGCCTGTTTGGCAAGCAAGTTTTATGTTTGTTCCATACACTTTGCTTGCGCATACCGTGCCACGATAGAAAACCGATAGCTGACCAAATATAATTGATACCATGTTACAGACCTCGAGCCCTACCATATCACCAAGTTACAGCTTGTCTGCCATAGGTTTCGCAAGCTCTGCCTCGATGACGAGTTGTGGAAGCTGTTGTCCTTCGAGAATTCACAATGGTACCAATCACTCCAGAACCGCCGCACTATTTTCCGGCCCTTTGTAGAGCGATACGGCGACACCTCTCATCACGACCCAATGCAAATAGATGGCGATGCTGGCTCCTCACCTAGCAAAGCAATACATCAAGATCAATTCCCGACCACACGCAGCCTTACCAGTCGCTCGCGGAAACTACAGGATATGGCCAACTGGGACCCCGTATTCCCAGGCGAACGAGTATCATGGTACGACGAGTATGTGCAAAGGCATGGCCCTACGTGTGTTAACTGGCTGCAAACTCCGCGCTTGTATGACTGTGGGGTTGAGGCAACCATAGAAGCACGGGGCATGGCATTATACAGTCCCCACGATGGAAACGATGGTGTCGGCACCATGCTGGCTGTTTCACCCTTGGATGACGGGTCGGTTTGCTTATGGGATATCAACGGAACTCGGGGTCGAAAGGGTGGCATCCTTGCCTCCAGCAGTCCTGGTATACTCTTTGTTGACGGTCCGGGTGATCAGAACAGCAAACGGTCCAAGAAGATAGACACTGGCGTTACGGAGTGTGTCAGCGTGGATCATCATGGCCACAGAGCCTTCTTCGCCGTCCAAAGCCGTAAGACTCACATCTCTGACTTCTGCAATCCGTTTCAAGCAATCACTGATTGATGTTTCCAGATCTCATCGAGGTGGATTTGAACCGTCTAGAGGTAGTAAGTCGCGAATCGTTCGAGTGGTCAATCACAACGCTATCAGCCCTACATCAAGGGGTACCCCTGACTGTAGGCACTTCTCTGGGTGTTCACCTTCATGACTTTCGTATGAGAGCAATGAAATCTCGAGATATCGTTGAGCGACTCGACGTAATCCAGTGGGACGAATCTGATGTTTTCAAAATGATCTTCGATACTAAGCCACTTCCTCCATACGCATCGTTGTCCCAGCCTACTCCCATCAGCATCTTGCACCTTCCCCGGCCTGGCTCGCACAATCTAGTATCGGACGACATTTATGTTGCCGGCCGATTTTCCAATATACTGCACTATGATCGTCGAAAATTTCCGGCCATAGAAGGCTCCATCTACTCTGGCGCGTTGATCAAGAGCTTGGCAGCCCTGCCGTATCCATTCTCCGCTGTCGACACGGAAGTGCGTCGCCAGGGTGAACTGACAACTGAACAGGTAGCCCAGTTGAAATCTGAGGGCGAAGGCAGGACCTTAATCGCCGCCGGCGGCTACAAGTCCAAAGGATCCCTTGAGATTTACGGCCTCAGCTCGGCAGCAGGTGCTGGCGAGAAGTCGATTTTGCAGAATTCTGTTACGAAAAATCGACAGACTGTTGCGTCGTCCACCATCCTATCCGTGGCGAACCATGGCTCAAAGATTGTCTTTTCAGATGGATCGGGATTCATCAAATGGTTTGAGCGAGACGGGTCTACTGAGTGTCGACGAATGAGAATTGGCCATAGTGATGCGGAAGAGGCGTCCTCTTTGTTTGCTTCCATGGCTGGTTCAGACGACATGGCCCGCAAGATTGTATCAACAAAATCCAATCAAGGCAACGACCCGCCCAACAACGACAATATTCTGTTGTGGACCGGGGAAAAGCTAGGTCTTGTGAGCTTCACGAAGTCTCCTATATTCGACGGAAAGGATTTCGAGCTTCAGGACCCAGAGACCAGTGAAGAAAACGAAAAGAGGAAAGAGTATACGAACAGAATGCGGCGCGCCCTAGAACGACAGGCAGACGAGGTCAAGTTTATAGGAAGCTTGGGTGATCCGACATATTGGACACGGTAGAATTGTTTACATATCATGGAGTCTGGTGCAGTAAGAAGACCTTTGGGTAATTGGGCGAGATTTGATACAATACATGGGCGTCGGTCAGTTTTCAATGCTTATCTTGTGCAAGACCAGCGTTTCTATGGATATCTTTTCACATATTTGTAGCCTGGTAAAATGAAATTACGTGGCTTGTTATACGGTGGTACATCCAATGGGGATTGGGCTATCCAAGCAAATTAAGTGAAGCATCGGCGATATAGCATCATGGATTTTGTCCAGACTTGGGTAGTTTCAGCAGGCAGTCCGTGCAAAGATAATAATCTCTCGACCAAGGGTCGGTCCAGTTTCACATGGTGACGCTATACATATATCCCCCCCAGTCTCGTCAACAGAACTGAAAGTTCGGCCAGTAGTAGCTACAGCTCTATTCAAATGGCAGCCTTTTCCCCAGTCACCACAGCCCCTTTTCGGTGTAATGTAACTCAAGCTTTCGTCAGGCCTGACACAGCTCCAGGGTAGTGGTCACAAACCAAACACGGCCACGCTATATCAAGATGATATATCAGTTGCAGGACAGGGCAAGCCCAATTGACGGCTAACAAGCAAGGATGTCCCCAAGTACTCCGTACAAATGGCAAAACTTCGATTGCAATCCAATGCAGGACACTAGTGCATGATGCGTCTCTTATTTGCGTGCCCAAGGCAAAAAATGGATTCGCTGTATCGAGGGCCTGGTTGGGCGACTTGATCGCTCGCTGCCCAATGAAGCCTTGCCGTTTGCGAAGGCACATGGTACGGTACGGGTAAACTGACTGGCCCCTATTTTCCGATCTAGGAGTCGTGAAGAATACACCTGCGAAATTTGATGCCGACTGAAGTCATTTGTGCGAGGTCGTTGGGTGTTTTACAAGAACAGGCATGTAACAGGTTCTAGGACTGCTCCTACTATCTGCTCGTCCGCCAACGACGGTGGGGTTGTCTCTAGATATTAGAATGCAGAAGCGCAAAGTCATATTCGTATTGCCAAGGCGTGAGGCTGAGTCAGGTCGATCAGGGCGATCAAGGCGGTTTCGGTAACTGGAGCCCAATGCGCCGGGTTTTTGTATTCTGACATGGCGGACTTTCTTTTGTTCGTGCTAGGGCTGGGCCGTCATGAGCAGCCATGCTCAGGCATGAGAACATTTAATGATGCGTTGTCTGTTTCTCTGTTCAGAGATATATCAGTACGTTAGATTATGATGTTGCGGCAGATAGACCAAGAAGGAAAACAATCGACTGCAAGGAGAATTGCATCAGCTGCTGTACAATGTCGGCCTAGGAGACCCGACTGGACAAGACGACAAGCAACCAACACGAGTGCGCCAGATGTACATGCTGGATGCTGGATGCTCTGCTGTGGGGCTGGATGTTGATGCAGGGTGATGGGAGATGCAGCGGAGACTGTGATTTGACGTGCACAAGGACGCATGGTGCAAATTCTGGCCATGCTAACAACGTCCATATGGCAATGGGAAAAGGCGCTGTTTATGATGAAGGGTTGTTGCTGAGGTTGGTGAGCGAGGACGAATGCCAGCGTTGCATGATGGCATAGAGTGCAACGCTTCAGCTCGGTCCATTCAATCAATGCCTGGGACTTGTCGTGAGCTTCGTACCGTGGCTGACTCATTGTTTGCCAAGACAAAACCTTTGCAGTGGATCGCCAGCTTGTCATGTCGGGTTTGTTCTGGTGATGCTGGCTCCATGCAGGCAGCGACGACGCGACTCCAGCTCGTTCCGTTTTGTGTTCATCTTCCTACCTAACGTCGTGTTTGGCTGGGCCTGGTGGACTTGAACCTGACCTTGAACCAGCCCTGGCTGATCTGACGGCACCTTAAGTATGCAAGTGGTGAAAGGCTCTGTCCAATATGCCGTACAGACAGGGTCAAATGCGCATGCATCTCCACGCATCCACCCTTGGAGCCAAAGTTCTGCTAGAGTTCGCGTCATGAGCGAGGGGGTAAGGAAAAGTGAGGACAAGTGAGGACAAGTGAGAATAAATGAGGAACAAATGAGGCACCAGAGGCATCAGAGGCGACTCCCAAGATGTCAAGTAGGCGCGGAAGGTGCACCCAGGACAGCATGGCCACGACGCTCGCTCTTGCCAAATGAGAAACATGCATTGAAGCAAAGTTGACCACCTGGACAGCTTGACCAGTTCGACTAATTTCGGAAGTGCCAACCGGCCTGGCTCTTCCTCCTTTCTCCTCCACTTTCTTTCTCGACCCTTTTTTCAACTTTTTTATCATCATCGTGGCCCCAAGATCACTGTTGCTTGCCCGACCACACTCGCTTCGCTGGCGCCTACTCGTCAAGAACTGTCAGGTTACACAGACCCTGGTCCCGGTGGCCCTGTCTCAGTGGCTTGGTCTACCATCGTCACGGCTCAGCTCCGGCAGCCGGCCTGGTCTTTCTGCATCGGGGCCCTCTCTGTTGTTTCCTTGCTGCCCGGGTTGAGCTTACTCACATTCATGTCCCATGTACACCGCTCAAAAGACAGCTATCGGCCGCCAACAGCCCATATCTAAATTCATCTTCTATATTTATCATCAACACGCCTCTCACTCTTCTCAAGATCTCCTCTTGTCTCCTGTCCTTTTACAACAAAATATTCTTGGTCGGATAATATTTGAAGTTTGCCGAGTAGCATGTCCTTTTGGGTGGTAGAAAGACATAACCGCAGCCCGCTTCTTGACGGATCATATATTGCTCCCAATGACGCCGATTACCGAGACTTCAATACAAATACAGGCGCCCATGACGAACATCACCTCAGTATCCATGGCAGACTCGACAACCGTCATTGGAATACGAATGCTTCCTACGAAAATGGCTATCAATATGCAGTCAACGAGCAGGTAGCCCAGTCGGAGCAGTCGGTACCCGTACCGAAACTGGCATTTCTTGTGATTCACGAAGGAGATGACAGGCAAACATCAACTCCACCGCTCTCACCATCGCCAAAACCACATGCTTATGATGACGCTTCTAACGCTTTCCACACCCGAAGCGCAATTCCTGTCCCTTTAGAACGAACCGAATCTGGTTTGTCTATATCATCTGATGCCTCAGCACACCATCACGGCAACTCGGCAGAGCATGACCAATATGGATATTTGCTGGAAGATCTTGAAGCAGCAAGACTCGTCCGTCAACACATCTCAAGCTACCGTCGCAGATTTCCAGACTCACAACCGGAACGAATCTTGAAAGCCCTCATCAATCCAAAGTCTCGAGGTGCAGAGTTCAGATTGGACAACGACGCTTTGCGAAGTATTTTTTCTGCATCCAACGAGCTTTTCTTTGCCAGTCGCCTTACACGCAGGGTTGCTTGGGACTGGAGCCACTCTACATCACAGCAGTACGATAATCACATAGTGGGGACCACGGCTCTTCGACGAAGCGCGAGGCTTGGAGGATGGGAAACTTTGATCGTACTCTCCTCGCCTATCTTGAGGGATAATCAATACAATAGGCGGCTACTCATCTCTACATTCCTGCACGAAATGATCCATAGCTTCATGTTTGTCACATGCGGACTCAAAGCCAAACAATATGGAGGCCACACAGATGGCTTCCGGGAGATTGCAGGTATTATTGATGACTGGGCCGGAAAAAATTGCCTTCACTTACGGGATATGGAGGCAGATTTATCTCGCTGGCGTGGTGATGACTTCTCCTCTGCAGACCACACCTATGGCTTTGACTACATCCACGATGCGGCGCACTTTGAGCAAGCAGCTCGGAATGGTGAGTGTCAGTCACACAAGTATGCAGATTACCTGCAGCCCCCATACCCAAGAGGACGTGCGGTACAAGAGGAATGGAGTTGGAACACACAAGAAGGCTTTGGGGAAGGTTCACAGTATGTGGCCAATTTGCAGTATGTGCCTGGGTAAGTCTACCGGATGTAATCTATCTGTTCTCTCCTTGACGGGCTTCCAGTGAGCGGTTTAAGTTTGGGTGTATTTTTCCCGTGGCATCGAGCCCTGTATTTGGGAACTGGCATGGATGCGGAGTTTTGGGATTTTTGAAGTGTGGTATTCACTTTGTATGGATCAGCATCGTTTGATTTGCAGCATTTCTAGCGATGTCCATCACGCAGACTCTGGAAGCATCTTATGAATTCAAATAATTTTCTTTTACCGTCGTTATTGGCGTTATTGGCCAGGGTATGCAAGTCTATCCAAATTACGAATTAATAGGAACGCCGGTTACACAATTCTTGACATATTGATTCGTGCTGCACCACCATCTCTGCCTCCGTACCATTGTCGCCTGCAAAAGTTTTTGAGTATAGTTGAAACAAGTACTATCGGTAACAAGATCAATGATTAACTATTTGACTATTCCGAGTCAAGCCCGGATTAGTTTTGGAGTCTAGTCTTTGCAGCTCCATAGGGTGCTCCTTTTTTAGAGTTTCCAAGCAAGGGTTCCGATTCATGGGATTCGACGTCAGAGTCGTCAATCGCAGATTCATCCACAAGAATGCGGCTGCTAACGGGAGTTCCATTATCTTCAGTATCGCTGTTTTCAACGGATGCGGTCGGGCCGTTACCCTCTACAACCCAGAAGACGGGAATGGCTCCTAGAACAGCCATGACCGCCAGGAAGAAGTATGCCGTGACAACGTATCCATGCTTTGCACCCCAAGTGAAAGCCAGCCCAGTGCTAGCAGGGCCTAGAGCTCTGCCGAAGCCACTAAACATGGTGACGAAGCCATTCAAAGTACCCAAGATTCTCAACGATTTGGCCGAATTAGTAAGCAGAATGGTGACGGCGGGGAAAGCAACGATGATCGAAAAGGCTTTGAGCATGAGGACAAAGGCAAGGCCCATAAGTCGCGTTTCGGAGGTTGGGAATAAGGATGTATAGGGCGTGAGGATGTAGACCATTGGCATGATGACACCTACTACTATTAGTCTATTTGCCATAAGCTTGCAGATAAATGGGAGACCCTTTTACTTACAGCAGGCTTTGTAGCAGTTCAGAACACCCCATCGGGTGACCATGGGAGAAAAGAGAATAAACTGGACAAGACCACATGTGATGCCATATAGCATGAAGATGGTCCCAATCCTCCCCGACTCCAGGCCAAATCCGCCATTGAAGTAGAAGGGGAGTCGTGTATTTTCCGGAGTGTGCTCCTTGACAGGGTAGTTTAAAAAGACTGTGACGTTTTGATCATAGGCGACAGAGTGGAAGGCAAGGAAGAAGTATGCCAGCGTAATAAGACTGCTTTGCTGCGTAAAGATCTCCAGGGATCCTGGGGTTGACGAGTCGTGTCCTTTCTTGTGCCGAATTTGGTTGGGGACGAGAGGGGCGGTTGCCTCGCCGTCTACAAAGGATCTACGTCTCCTGTCCCGTCTCCTGTTCCACTTCAATGCTCGGCCAAGACGCTTGCCGAATAACAGCCCCCAGTCTCGCTCATCTCGTTTCGCAGTAAGTGTTTCCTAGTGGTGAGAAGGTTACTTGAAAAGAACATGGGCTTAGCAACTGACGGGCCGAGAACATACCTTGAGAAAAAGCGTCGCGCTAGTGACAGATATGAGGAAGAAGACGGTAGCAATCAAGTTGGGAAGAGCATATGGAAATTTCTCAAAGAACCACACACCCCCAAACACTGAAGGATACTGTTTGGCAGGGTCTGCAAAGAACCCGCCAAATGCTGGACCGACAACTGAGCCCAATGACCAGACAAGGGGCATGATGGAGAATGCTCTTGGCTGGAGCTCTTTCTCGGGCACAAGTTCCGCCACCATGGTTCGAATAATTCCAACTGAAAAGGACTGTCAGCTACGCCCAACTTTGGATGATACGCAGTAGACCCGAAGAGACGAACCATTTCCATTACTTGCTCCCTGGATGGCACGCACGGTAATGGCCATGGGTAGGCTGGTCGACACTCCCCATACAATAAAGCAGGCCATGGTGCAAACCAAGCCAGTGATCAGACTTGGTTTCCTGCCCCATGAGTCTGCTATTTTCCCCCAAGGCACCGCAGCGAAACTCTGGAAGACTGAGAAAACGGCGGACGTAAGGCCGGCCCATTTTGCGACTTCTGTTTCCTCCACGCCGAAGTCGCGGACCATCTGAGGAAGGTATGGATATATAGATGTTGTGGCGATGGGTTCAGCAAATCTTGCAACAGCTATGGTAACTGTTAGCAACGGAAGGGAGACGGGCTGGAAGAATAGAGTTGCAGCTTGTGATGTACACCAGCCTGTCGAATGTCGAAGCCGGTCTGCGGGAAGGTGCCTCTCTCGTTCCTTCCTTCTCAACATATGAAGCAAGGAAACGTAAAAGCGTCTGGTGGTTTTCGGCCTCACGCATAATTCTACCCTGTCGTGCCTTACCTAAAATCGTCAACTGCTGCCATGGTAGCTTTGGCCTCGGTGGCGTGTGCAAGTCATCATCACTCATGTTCTTGGGTGCTAGGTGCTGCGAAACAAAGACAAATGGTGCGGCCCTTCTCGTGGCGTCGCGGCGCAGTGAGGGAGAGTCTGTTTGTGTGGAACTGACGGTGAGACTCGGAAGATTGAATCTTGATTACCCATCAGCTAGCAGACACCGTTACGCACAATACTAATTAGCGATGATAACACAGTTTATACACACCGCTAGTCAAATGATGCAAGGGAGCCCGAGATTAAGGACGAAAAATCGAGAATGAAGTTTACCAACTAAGGGACGAATCACTATGGGCACGCTTAATAACGCTGACGAGCACAATCCATGTCAAGTCGGTTTAGATTGGGCCAGGGCCACGAACGGTGTCGGACCTGTCGCCTGGAAACCCCCACCAAACCCAGGTCATATGAAGGGCTTGCTGCGCCAATTATAAGCTTCGACCAGACTGGCGGCGCAGGGTCAACAGATGCGGTTGGGTGGGATGGGAACACGACCTCTCTCACTTGCACTTGGTGAGACGAGATTTGAGTACCAGATGTACTATTCTGGCTCTCGATGGACACAACTCACGATGGCCCATAGTGAAAGAAGGTAAAACACACCCAAAGGACAAGGGTCTTTTCTGGATATCGATTGCCCGGAGATTTGGAACTGTTAGAGCTCAACAGGACATGTACTGACAGTTCCACGGGCAAAAGAAGTCTGCTTAAATACGGAGTGCGGAGTAGACGGTGGTATAGAAGAGGGCTAGCACGTTTTTGCTTTGGTTTTGACTTCAAGAGTGCTTCAGGGTGTGTTGCTGGATGACTTGCGCCTCAGCTGCAGCATGCGCCAAGGAACATGACCAAGACTGTCTGGTAGCATTGTGACCCATGCCTGCCGTGCTTTGAAGAGTGACGGGCGGGGCTGATTCCGGCCGTCATCGGGGATGGCAGACTGGCGGCAACCAAGCCCGCATCGGGTGAGCAGCAACCGAGATGGGCAATCTCAAATGATGTGCGTATGTGGCCATGGCCGAGAGCTGTCAGGGCCAGGGCTGTGGTTTTGTTCCAAGCCTGGGCCAAGTTGAAATAGAACGATGGTGTGAGACTGAGCCGAGATGAAAGTCGATATACACGCGGCTGGCGCAGTATTAGCCGCAGTGACAAGATTGAGCCATCGACTGGCCGTCTGAAAGCACCAATGCGGAGTTGGGGACGATACTCCGTCGGCACAAAACAGGCAGGAGCGACCCGGCAACTGTCGATGCATGTTGCAGAACAACCCCGTCGGCAACCCGATGTCTCAATTCTCGACTCTTGTCACCCATTCAATGCTTGACAACTCGCCCGTCTCAACAATTTGAGGTTGACAAAGCAACAGCCGCACCGCAGCCTTCGCCCAACCAGACGCCGCTATCTGCTGAATAACTACCAGAACCCTGCAAGCTTGCAATTCGTCATCGGACCCGTCGAGCTCATCAGCCCTCCGCAACAACCCCATCAAGGCCGGCATGCAGCATCGCCAAAGGCCGTGATTTTTCCCATTACATCTACAACTTACTCGAAGAATATCACAATTGGGGGTCATTTGGTCAATAATGGGCAGGTTGTAAGTTCACAAATTGGCCCCCAATCACCGTCTCCGCATCGTCGTGCCGCCATCTCACATCCCGGCGTCCCGCATCCCGCTGCCTTCACTGGTGTGGCGAACCAATCCCATGACCACCATCCAACAGCCCGCCACGCCGCACACCTCGACCATTTCCCGTCTTCTTTTGCTTTAACTCCCATCTCATGGGCCAGCGCTGAAAGCATCATCTTCCAGATTTCCATCTGAGCCTGAAAAGATGGCCAACGAGTCGACGCCGTTGATCCAGACGGTCCGTGTTGCGCCGCCCCGGAGGAGATATCGCCATGACACTTGCCGGCGATTCTGCACCATCGCCTGCACTTGTCTCCTCGTAATCGGATTCGCCTCATTCCTTACCCACGTTTTTCTCATCTGGCCATACCACCATCATCATGGTCGCCACAGCCACTACTCGTACTCACACCAGCAAGGCAAGCGCCTATCTCACCAAGAGGTCCAAAAGATCCTCTTGGAGACCCCAACTGCAGATCATGCTGAAGAATGGAGCCGCTATTACACCTCTGGCCCTCATCTGGCGGGCAAGAACTTCTCACAGGTAAAGCCTCATGACTCGCCCGCATCCCTGCTGTTCACTAGCTAACACTCTGCCAGGCCGATTGGACTAGAGAGAAGTGGCAGAGCTGGGGAGTGGACGCCAGCATCGCCGAATACCATGTGTATATTAATTACCCGCTTGAACACAGCCTCTCTCTGCTGAAGAAGTCTACAAAGGACGATTCATGGACTGTGACATTCGATGCTTCTCTGACCGAGGCGGTCCTGGACGAGGACCCTACCACCGCACTTGATACCCGAGTTCCCACCTTTCACGGGTACTCTGCCAGCGGCAACGTTACTGGTCAGTTTGTCTACGTCAACTACGGAACTTACCAGGATTACCAAGACCTTGTCGATGCTGGCATTGATCTCAAAGGCAAGATTGCAATTGCCAGATATGGCGGCATCTTCCGAGGGCTCAAGGTGAAGCGTGCCCAAGAGTTAGGTATGGTTGGTACTGTAATTTACAGTGACCCTGGTGATGATGGCGACAAGACTGAGGCCAACGGATACGAGCAATACCCCAAAGGTCCTGCTCGACATGAGAGTAGCGTTCAGCGTGGGAGTGTCCAGTTCTTGAGCATTCGTCCCGGTGACCCGTACGTCCCTTGCTTGCACCGAGTTCTGCCACGATTGCTGACACTTTTCACATCAGAACTACCCCCGGCTACCCGTCTAAGCCCGGCGTTCCACGAGCGCCCACCGATGATGCCACACCGTCTATCCCCTCTATTCCCATCTCATACATTGACGCTCTTCCTATTCTCAAAGCTTTGAATGGACATGGCCCAAAAGCCTCTGATCTGAGCAGCTATTGGACGAGGAACCTGGGACTCGGATACAAGGGCGTAGATTACAACATTGGGCCTTCTCCCGAACATGTGCTCCTTAACCTGCACAACGAACAGGAGTATGTCACCACTCCTCAGTGGGATGTTATTGGCGTCGTCAATGGAACAATCCCGAACGAGGTTATTGTTGTGGGCAACCATAGGGATGCGTGGATTGCTGGTGGCGCTGCGGACCCCAACAGCGGCTCAGCCGTGCTGAACGAAGTTGTACGCAGCGTTGGCAAGGCTGTTGAGGCGGGTTGGAAGCCTCTCCGAACCATTGTGTTTGGCAGCTGGGATGGCGAAGAATACGGTCTCGTTGGCAGCACCGAATGGGTCGAGGAGTATCTTCCATGGCTCTCCGATGCCAATGTTGCTTACATCAACGTTGATGTCGCCGCATCTGGCTCATCCTTTGGAGCTTCCGCAGCTCCTCTCCTAAACCAAGTCTTGCGAGACGCGACGCACAAAGTTCCCTCGCCCAACCAAACCGTTCCTGGTCAGTCTGTCGGAGATGTCTGGGATGGCAAGATCAGTACCATGGGCAGCGGTAGTGACTTTACTGCATTCCAAGACTTTGCTGGAGTCCCTTCCATTGATATGGGCTTCAAAGCCGGCCCCAACAGTCCCGTTTATCACTATCACAGCAACTACGACAGTTTCTACTGGATGCATGAATACGGCGACCCTGGCTTCAAGTATCATCTGGCCATGTCCAGAGTCCTCGGCGTCCTGCTGTCCGAGCTGGTGGACACCATTGTGATTCCCTTTGGCGCCGCCGAGTATGCCGATGCTCTAGGCACATATCTCGACGAGGTGGAAGCCAAGCTCAACACCAATGAGGAACCAGCCACGGACGAGGCCATGTTCGCAATGCGAGGAGCTGCGCTCTCCAAGGACGCCAAAGGCAGCGCCGATGCGTTTGAAGCCAGCCTCAGGAAGATACGTGCGTCGCTAAGCAAGCTGCGCACAAAAGCCGTTGGGCTAGACGAACGCGCTGCGTGGGCAAACAAGAAGTTGAGAGATGGTCTTCCGTGGTGGAATATTATCGGCAAGATCAAGCTTTGGACCACTATTGCCAAGGTCAATGGTCAGTACAAGTTCTTCGAGAGGCACTTCTTGTTTGAAGGCGGTCTCGACAAGCGCAGTTGGTTCAAGCATGTAGTGTTTGCCCCTGGCCTGTGGACTGGTTACTCTGGAGGTAAGTAGTCTTTTGTGTGCAGTCCCTTACCTGATTCGACATGCTAATTTCATGATAGCCGTGTACCCTGGTTTGATAGAGAGCATCGATGCCAAGGACTACATTAATGGTCTAAAGTGGGCGGGCATCATTGATCGGTGTGTTCACAAGGCCGCGGAGAGCATATAATGGCAGCTTGCAGGTGTGGAACATGAACTTGAGGTTACAATGGGAGTGGCGATCTTGGATAACGAAGAGCCTTGCAAATTATATTCATGTCTACCGTGTAAACTAATAGCACAGCATAGATGCGAACGCCTCAAGTCCCACACATGCCTGACTAGCCAGCAGGTCGGATTGCGACAATTATCTCTAAATTATTATTTGAAATTAAAATCAGCAAGAGTTGCGCTGTTTTTTTTTTTTTTTCTCTGTGTCGTAACAAGGCGGCAGCTGGGCACTTATTACCGCCCACCATCCCCCTCCTTTTCCCCTTTCCAATTCAAAATACCTACCTGTACATATCTTGCCTCGTCGCACCTGTCAACTCAGTAGGTCGGGTGGAGAGGAGCCGCAGGCTGGTGAGGCGGATACTGAGGCGCAGGATAAACCCCCGAAGGAGGAGGCGTATGCGCCTGGACGGAGACGTTGCCCGTATGTTGGGGGGCCGAATGCTGCGCCTGCGGGTAAAATGTCTGCTGCTGCTGCTGCTGCTGCGGATGGTACGCCGTCTGGCGCTGGTTGAAGGGGATGCCCTGCTGCGGAACAGCGTGGTAGTCAGTCCCGGTCTGCGGCTGCATCTGGAGCTGGTACGGCGCCGTCCCGGACCCAGCACGACCGGCCCGCGCGCGGCCGCCGCTCCGACGGTGCCGGTAGATGACGACGGCATCCGTCACCCACGAGATGAAGAACAACAGGCTATAAAAAAAAACGCGAGGGTTTGTCAGCAAGACGATATGAGGACTCAAGCTGTGTCGCCAACACGTACAATTCGATGGCGCCGAGACCGGCGATGCCAGCGACCACGCCGCCAAAGACCTTGTGGTTGGCGCCGTAGACGTTGCTGCCGCCGGCGCAGTACTTGCTGTAGTGGGCGGCATCGTCGTACTTGTCAAAGTGGTCATCGCAGAAGCTGTACGGGGACCGCCCGGAGCGGCGGACCGTGCCGGCGGCAAAGATGAGGCCGGCCCAGACGGCGGCGAGCGAGAAGGTGGCCGGCCAGAAGATGTACAGGTAGAGGTCGAAGAAGAGGGCGGCCCAGTAGTTGTACGCGCGGGGCGAGCAGGTGTGCGCGCAGACGAGCCAGATGCTGACGATGATGGTTACGAGGGCCTGGGGGGAGGGTGAACGGAGAAGGTTGTGTTGGTACTTATTATTTTGGAAAAAAAAAAAAAAAGAAAAGAAAAAGAAAGAAGAGCCTGACAGAATCCGACGCACCGTAAAGAGGCCCAGGCCGTTGGTAGCGGCGGCCGTTGGGGTTGCGTTGATGGTGTGGTGTAGGCCGACAGGCCGAGAATGGCCACGGCCAAGAACAGCTGGATGAAGCGGATCGCGACCCATCCCGGGAATAACTGGGAATGTGCTCGCGGCCGGGTCTGCGCTCAAGGGCCATGGTCTGGGAGTGTGCTGCCCGAGGTCGTGGTCTGTTCTTGGTCGAGGGGGAGAGGGAACGACTAACACGGGCGTTTTGGAGACGGAAGAGCGCACAAAATACACTTGTTGAGCCGGGGAAAGAATCTAGGAAAACACAGAAATACGCAGACTCGTTGATACACACCCGCACAGCGGCCAGCCCGGCCCTTTTAAGAAGACGCCACATGGGGCAAAGAAAAACTCATCTCGCGTCTCATCACGGACTTCTCCCATGCCGCTCGAAATATCTCGCGCTGAACCATTGTAAATCTGCCTCGTGGGCCCTCGTACAGCTAACAAGCCTCTACCCGCCCGGACAGAAACCAAGGAGAACAAAAAAAGAGTAGCCACCGGCCCCGCGAGCTTATTGCCAAAGTGTTATGGCGGACAGGGGGTTCATGGTGGTGGCTTCGTGCAAGAACCAGCCGGGTCATCATGAGCCCCGACTGCGCTTCTGCACTTTAAGATTGCACAACATGCGGCTGACTTGTTGCATCTTCCAACTCATACTACAGCAAGGCATAGCGGCACAACAAAGCAATAGGCGCAATACCCTTGACGCGCCTCTCATCTGGTGAGGCCTTGATGCCACGAGACGTCTAAAGGATCATCCACGTTTTGAGCCGTGTCAAAGAGCTCCAAGAATGCTTGCGACGCGACAAGACACAGCTCTTCAGCCCTATGAAAGAACAAGGAGCATACTTCCATTCTGAGCGCTCAGAAACGCCCTCTGCGGCGGGCATTGGGCGTACGTGCAAGCCCGCGCCGGTGCTTCAGCCGCCCCCCGTCTTCTCGCGCAGCGACAATGCTTTGTGATGAAGCGCGGCCAATTCAGCGCGTGGCCTGGCCGTCCATCTCTTGCAGAAACCACACTTTTGTTCCCTGTTCGTCGTGTAGATCCTGGCCGGAGTTGGCACAGTAGAGGGATGGTGAAATAGCGGCTCACGTCGTTAATCTCGGCTTGACCAGAATCTACACGGCACCCCTTCGCCGATTCATGTGCTCATTTTCAACGGCAAAGGGTGCAGAGCCTTGTTCAGATTCGTTCGATCCTGCCTCCACGGCGGCAGGCACCACGCGTCGGGCATGGTAATGCTGCAAAACTACCGCCGGCAGAGGCGTTGAATCCAAACAGAGGCCAAGCGCCTCCGTCGTCTAGAATAGACGGCCTCATCGTAAGTCAATCATCTCGACGGCCAGCACAGGCCATTGTAAGGACTGACGCCACACGAAAATCCATTGAGTGATGCGCTCGTGGCGTCGCGTAGCGTGTCGAGCAGAGGATGCAGGGTGCCTGCATTCAAAAGCACCACGTGAGAGTCAATCCTGGAGATTGACCGTGTCTTTTTAAACTCGTGTGCCGCCAGTCTTGGGGAGTACGGGAGAGACAGCCTGCCTAGCCACGTCTCCTTTTGCCTTGGGGGTAGCAATCTCGACAGCATCGTGCAAGTGACAAAATGTTTTCACAGTTCGAATAGCGTGCATAAATCCCGCCGGCCAGAATGCTGCGCGACTAGATAAAAAGTCTATGTCTCGTTGCCTTGTATCTATACTTTAAAATTTACTATCGTACAGCGGGTAGCCGGTTCCAGTCTCGAGCCATCCTCTTTTTAGAACTTGTAGACCTGCTCCTGGGAGTAGCCAAGGTCCTTCAGAGAGCCAGAGAGCTCACCCTGGTCCTTGGGGCTAACCTTGGGGCCAGAGATGGCCTTCATCAGGCCCGGGGGTCCGCAGACAAACACCTTGATGTTCTCCTCCTTGGGCTCGGGCAGCACCGTCTTGAGCAATTCCTTGGAGATGTGCCCAGTGTTGCCTTGCCAGTCCTTGGGGGCCTTGTCCAGGACGTAGAAGGCACGGAATCGTTGGGGATAGGTATTCTCGAGCTCGGCGAGCTCGCGGCGGAGAAGAATGTCCTCCTCGGTCACATTGCCGAAAACAAGAGTAACCTTGGTCTTGTCGTTGGAGTTGTTGAAGATGGCTCGGCAGAGCTGGTACATCGGCGTGATGCCAGTGCCGCCAGCAATGAGCGCAATGTGGTCGTGCTTGTTTTCGGACCAGGGGTACTTGGGCAGAGGGCCCTTGAAGTCAAGGCGCTGACCAGGAACTAGGTCGTGGATGTGAGTGCTCATGGGGCCGTCGGGATATTTCTTGACCAAGAGATCAACGTGGCCCTTCTCGCCTACATCAGGAATCAGAGGCGTTAGCACGTCATGAGGACAACGACCGCAGAAGACGGAGCGTCTCTATTATACCTTCGTCGCTGATGGGAGTATAAGGTCGGAGGGTAGCCTTCTCGTCGCTGGGGCCCTTGAATTTGGTCAAGATGGCACTGGCGACGTGAAGACCAGAGACCATGTCACTCTCAGGGAGTTCGAAACGAAGACGTTTGGTGTTGTGGTTGACAATCTCAACGTCGGCCAGCTTCAGAGAAACGAATCCCTGATCGCCGCCGGTGAAAGCAGGCTTAGCAGGAACAGCCTCCTTCGCCTTGGCGGCCACGGGGGTGCTTCCGCCCAAGTAGTAGTATCCAGCTCCGGCAACAGCAGCAGCACCCGCAGCAAAGGGCAGGGCGTTGGATCCTCCCTTGGTTGTTGTCTCAGTCGCATATCGGCGAGCTTGCTGCAAGCCCGTTAGTAACCATGCCGTGAGCGGCTTTGCCGGCTTTGGGTGTCCCCATGGAAGTACCGGAACAGCGCACATACAGTCTTCAGTGGCTGAGCCACGCGGAAAGCAGATCGAGCAAACATATTTGACCACGGCTCAGTGGTGTCGGTTCAATTGAGGTTAATTGGCCAAAACACACACAGTCTGCGGCTCAAAGAGGAAAAAGGGTAATGGATGATGATGCAAGAAAGGGACGCCATGCTCTGGTGCGGGTGCCGGGTGCGGCTGCGGCTGCAAGCCTCAGTGATGACGCCAACCACGTGACTACACTGGCCCACCATTCTGCAGCGGTTGCTGACGCCGTTGATTGATAAGCAGCATTCTCCCGTACGGAGCAAAAAGAGTTACAATAACTATTCCGTACTCAAGTACCTACCTACCTAGGTAGGTAGGTACTTGAGTACGGAATAGTTATTGTAACTCTTTTTGCTCCGTACGGGAGAATGCTGCTTATCAATCAACGGCGTCAGCAACCGCTGCAGAATGGTGGGCCAGTGTAGTCACGTGGTTGGCGTCATCACTGAGGCTTGCAGCCGCAGCCGCACCCGGCACCCGCACCAGAGCATGGCGTCCCTTTCTTGCATCATCATCCATTACCCTTTTTCCTCTTTGAGCCGCAGACTGTGTGTGTTTTGGCCAATTAACCTCAATTGAACCGACACCACTGAGCCGTGGTCAAATATGTTTGCTCGATCTGCTTTCCGCGTGGCTCAGCCACTGAAGACTGTATACAGTACGGAGCACACCTCGGCGTAGACCGACAGGTCCTCCGAGGTACCGAGTACTATGCAACAGAAAAGAGGAGTCGCCAGACAAGATGACCTACCTCTAGGTACCTACCTAGGGTAGGTAGGCACCTAGGACCAAAGATGTTGGTATATGTGTGGCCGGAGCACGTTGCAAGAACGTCTTGACAACCTCAAGTACGACGAGTCGCAACATTCAAAGTTCAAGCAATAGGAGCCTACTCATCACACGATACTTGAAGATGAATCACAAGGGAACTGAGAGAAGCCAAGTGATTGCCTCCACCAAAATAGTGACAGGCAATATGCATATTATCCTGAATCATACAAGTTCGCCCTAGGCTCGCTTTAAAGATGATGTGAAGCCTCACTGATACCCGCTATCCACCTTTTTACCCGTCGTCCGTTGCCAATCTGTGGCTGCATGTTTCCCGTTCTTTGTTCACTTCCTCGTCTCTTCTCTAGATTGCAGGGTCAGGCCTCAGTTGATCACGAGATCCAATAACAGATTATCTACCGCCGAGAGAGACAAAAGTCCTACCTACTTACATGGCTTTTATATATAAGCATAAGCCGCCGAAGCACGTGCCTCATAATATTAAACAAAAAATGTGCAAGCCAAACCTCATCAGCAATGTAGTTGCAGTCTCCGGCATTATTTTGATGCCTTTAAAACGTTTGAGTCCCGATGCAGGTATATGAGAAACGTCGCTTGAGAATCTATCTTCACCGAGCGGCCGCCTGACTAGAGCTAGCCGTTGGATGTTCTTGGACTGGCGTACTACCAGCTTCACCATCATTGGTTGAATCCTGGCTTTCTCCGCGAGCCATTCCGGGCTCGTTGTGTTGGGGGATGGTGGGCGTGCTTGTCTGGCTACCACCACGTTGTCCGTGATAATGAATGACCTGTGGAGGCGTCTGCCCCGCCTGAATTCCCAACTGCCCTGTGGGGTAGGGGTTCAAATCCTTGCTGGACGTTGAGAAAACAGACACAATCGGCTGGTGATAGCCATTGGTAGACGTGATGGATGGTTGCCGTTCTTTGCCACTATGTTCCGCTTGTGTGGGAGTCTCGGCTTCGTTCAGGGATATGCAGCCATCCACAAGGTGCCCAGTCAAGCTGTTCATACCGCCTTCAATGTCTCGCAGCAATCGTACGTATTCCTCGGGAACCAGTCCACTCTCTTGGGTCTTTGGGTCCTCAGCGACAAGCCAGCCTTGGCCATGTCTGTATGACACCCAAATGATCTGGCCCTCAACTAGTGGCAGTTCGTTTTCATTCTCGCGCTCAAAATCGAACAAGGCCACGGCCTTACCATGAAACTCCTCGTCGGGTGAAGTAATGGTGAACTGATAGTCTCGTGAATAGCGAGACTCGTCAATGTCGTGGTATCCGGATGATGATGGAGAACTAGAATTCTCTGAGCCAGGCCGGCCGCAGTCGCGCTGATGGCCTTGTTGAGGATAATGGTAACCATGGCCATGGCGTGCTTGGTCAGGAGGATAGGTCACGTACTCGCCACCTGGACCATTCGCCTCGCCCCCATGGGTCACATAGTAACGCTCACTCCCATCTCCGCCTGTTCCAAGATAGTACCCCCGCTCGCTGTCGTAGTTGGAGGTGCTCATAATGTCGCCTTCTCGGCCAGCCCTCCCCCTGCTCTGACCGAGTGCTGCTGAACTTGACTTGTGCTTACGGTGACGGGTGGCAACAACTGGACTCTGCAAATCATCGTCTTCGCTATACGGCGGACCGTCCCCGAATTGAATTGGGGGAATATCATGGCCGCGGCTGAAACCATCCGAGGTCCATGAATCCCACGGCATTCGCGGCTCCCACGAAGCAGGAGGATCAGACAGTCTTCGGGTCTCGCTCGCGGGGGTGGTCAGGCCAGAAGGTGGCCCCGAAGGCTCGGGCGGCGGACCAAAGTGCATCGGATGGGCGGTTGGATAGGCGAAGTCCCTCACCAAGGTGTAAGATAGGCTAGAAGGAAACAGAGGAAACATATGAGAGCCTGGGCGCGACCTCGAAGGGACGGATCCCGACGAGTACTGCGACAAGCGGCTCTTGGAGGCATGCGACATTGGCCGGGGGAGATTGCTTCGGCGCGAGGGCGTCGGTGTTGATGTGGTCAATGGCGGCAAGGCGGGATGATTTGCATTCGCCGTAGGGGACGAGCCTTGAGGCTGCGAAATTGGGGAGGATGAGGCATCCGTCATGGTGGCGGTCGCAGTCATTCCTCGCAACGGCAGCAGGGGGAAGGGGGCCAGCTGACAAGAGCCAAGGGAGTGACGAGTGACGAGTTACGAGGCTCAAAGAATACGATAGCCGCCAGAGGATGGGCTTAGGAGTCCTCAGAAACGTCTGGTTGAAGTATCCGTTGTCGAGGATTGCAGAGCCGCGCGAGACGAGACCCCGCAGGCGGGGCCCAGGCGACGATGTTGCACGTCTTGTGAAGGCAGAGCTGCAGCAATGGTTTCGGTACGATGGTGAAGAATATCGCAGAGGGAATCGGTCAGGCGGTGGACAGAAAGGAAGCCGTCGGTGTTTAGGCGCAGGCCTTTGACAGGCAAAGGCGTGGACGAGGAGTGAAAGTGCCAGGCCCGAAGGTTCGCCGGTGTGACTGCCTAGATGGAGTCGGGCAGATTACTTATTCAAGGGAAACAACGGAGGCGCGCCGGTACTGTTCGTTGCTGGGGGTGGCGTAGAGCAAGGCGATTCCAGCGAGGCAGCGCGCGGTCGGGAAAAGGATCGTGGGTTGGGAGATTCGAGTGTAGGGAGCCGACATGGAGAGAGGGAGTTGAGGAGGACACCAGCGGATAAGGAAGGAGCGACTCAAGCCGCCAACGGGCTCGATGTTAATTAATGGCAACCAGACCAGACTGCTCTCAAGTACTGGTGGCCCTGGCACTGGGGGCTTCCCAAGATTCTACAGTTCAAACTTAGTGGTCTAATTAGTGAAGGCTGGCCAACGGGCGCCCGTCATCAGGCGCCCGAGGTGCTCCAGACGCAGAGTGCCAGGCCTCCCCGGGCACGGACCAACCAGACCAGTGCCAGACGCAGTGGCCTGTGCCCAGCGCCCGCCCAAGCACATCAATTGGCACCGCCTCGACACTCGCACAGCAAAGTTGAACCCAACAGGCGCCCTTCAATGCTGCGCCCTCGTCTAGCCGGGCGTTCCCACCTCCACAGACCAGACGCTTATTCACATCTTTTTTTGGACGGCCGCATCGTGTCAGGTGCGTACCCATAAGTTACATACCTAGGTACTCAATTGTGTATGTATGTCCTCTCGAGCAGCCAGCTGGTTATTGTGCAATGTGCAGGACCACGATGCGGCTCCAACTGCTGTGGGGGAGTCGGGACATCTGGACGCACATGTCCAAATGGCACTGATGCTGACTGATGTATCATGTAGACGACGGTCCAAAGACACAAAGGCCAACTCATCAGCTTCTTGGCAAGTGGCCTTGCGACAGGCTAGATAAGCCTGGCCCTCCATTTTGGCAACCATTGTTGAATAGATTTCGTCTCCAGTCGCCCCGGAGCCCAAGTCGACCTGCAAACTCACCCTCGATTGCATGTCCACGTCCACCTCCGCGTCCTCTCTCATCTCGGATGCCTGTCCCTGGCTCATGACGAAATTGCAGTAACGATTGCTTTGTGACACCCAGCTCACGGGACCCAGGTTTCGGATCTTTCCTCGACTACGACATCTGTTGCAGATGGTAGTGCAACATCAGACACAAATCTGCGCCTGTCTTGTATGCCGAAACTTCGAAATTGATAGACACAATGCCCATATTGCAAGGTCATCGAATGTGAAGACCACCTGCCTAGGTAGTTACTCCGTCTTCTCCCATCTGATCGAGATGCCAACGACCATCCTTGCCAAGAACGACAATACGTAGTTACTACATACATTACATACACAACAGGATCGATCTCGTGGTCCCACTATGGCGGCTCCAAGGACGTTGATGGAGAAATAATAATGAGCTGCACTCGCTTTGATAGACATTCATGCTGTCCAACAAGTGGGAACTGCGGTCTAAACTTGTTGGTTTGCCGGCAAGACTGAAACCCTCAGCTCGCTTGATGATTCGCCACACAGCTGAAGATCACGACATGCTGCAAGCTCACCGACTGTCGATTGGAAGATCAAAGACGCAATTCTCGTCTTCCTTCAAGACGTCTCATCAGGAAATTGCCACTGGGGCGGCACGAGGGCTGGCGGTGCTCACTGAAACGCCAAGCAGGGTCCAGGAGGGACGGGCATCCCGACAAAAATCCCTACCGAGACCACGTGAGGCAGGGTTGGGCTGACTTTCAAATTTATCGGGATGTACGTACATAACACGGAGTACTCCGTGATGCATGATGCTGAAACGCAAAATTCGCGAGATCATGGCGAACACGCTGTCCATAGGATGCCATGCGTTTTTGACGAGCAATTGCTCTAACCTTTTATTTTTGCTTCTGATGTCGAGATCGAGTTAGTAGCTGAACGGCGCCATGCATGCGTGTCCCCCGATGCAGCCTGACCCTGGAAGTGAAAGCGTCAGGCCTAGATCCCAGCACGCAGGATGACGATCAAAGCAAAACAATGCTAGTAGTAGCCAGCATGTCTGCTTCCAAAGCGGCGGGCTTACGTTGTCCTTGCATCGAAAATGAGCACTTTAGTGGCAAAAAGGAAGCTCAACTCTGGTAATCGACCGAAGCGAACCAACTCGACCGAAATGATCAGTCACAGTCTATTTTTGGACCCCGGATCATTAAGAGCGGGAGGCAATTTGTTGATTGGTCCACATGGGGCCGTCGATTTGTTTCAGGTCATGCACATGGCCGCGAGCCAATCACAGTCCTCTCCACTCATTTCACTCCTTGCTGTGGGCCGCCTGCAGTTCGTTCCAATCTTCTTCTCCCTCATCTCAATTCTCGAGCTGCCAAACTGCTTCCTGCCTCACCTGCTCGACCCACCAATCAGCCGCCGGCGTTTAGCCGACTGGGCTTCCAGCCTTCGCACTGCACACAAACCACACGTCTAGCTTTTTCACTACAAAGCTCCAATTGTTTGGGACAAATCACCACCCACCGTCATCAACCACGGCGCGACTGACCACCCTGGTGCAACACTCGGAGCAGATGATGCCTATGCAGCACCTGCTGGGGTTTCGGGAAACTCCTCGGCGACGCGCCAAATTCGATTGCACTTGAACTTGCCTGGTTCTGGCTAGGGGAAGCAGGTATGTCAGTTATGAAAGTTCTGAAGCCTTGTCGGGCTGGCCTTGTTTGTGATGATTCCAAATTATTGGAGCTGTCTGAACTTTCCATGTTGAAAGACATTTTATACGCAACTTTACATATCTGATCCTTGGCAATAAACATTTCTCCTTTCTCTTGACGCAATGCCTAATGGAGATGTGTACATGAATGCTGACGTTGCATGCCAGCAAACCGTTTGAGGCACTGGAACATGCCTGAGGGGCAATTGGGCTTGATTTCTCTGCAGAAGTTACTTCTTGGTATCAAGTCAACATGGAAGTTGTAAACGGAGCAGCTGATGCTGTCAACCAGAATGGCTCTGGAGATAATACCGGCGGATACAAATTGAAATTTTGTACCGTGTGTGCGAGTAATCAAAACAGGTAGCAATCCCCAAACGACAACAGGCCAATTAAATTACATGGCAGCATCTAATGAAAATTCGCAGATCTATGGAAGCTCACCTGCGATTATCTCAAGCCGAATACCCAGTCATATCCTTTGGTACCGGATCCCTAGTCCGGCTACCAGGACCAACCATCACACAGCCCAATGTGTACCAGTTCAACAAAACCTCATACGACAGCATGTACAAGGAGCTGGAATCAAAGGACGGACGCCTGTACAAGGCCAACGGTATCCTGAACATGCTGGATAGAAATCGTGGTGTGAAGTGGGGGCCGGAGCGCTGGCAGGATTGGGCCATAGGTATTCCCCGACTTCAGCACTCCACCGACAAAGGCAGCGATGGGACAGAAGGCGGCGTCGTAGATGTCGTCTTTACATGCGAAGAACGCTGCTGGGACGCCGTTATCGATGACCTTCTCAGCAGAGGGTCCCCCTTGAACCGCCCCGTTCACGTCATTAACGTGGACATCAAGGATAACCATGAGGAGGCGCACATTGGCGGCCAGGGGATTCTGGATCTAGCCAACTCCCTCAATGCGGCAGCCAGGGAAGAGAGGGCGGCAATTGGCGCAGCGGCTTTTGATAGCGGGAATGCCTCGAGCCGAGCTAGTTTTGACGAGAGGGTGCCTGAAATACTGGGTGCCTGGCAGGAGAGATGGCCAAACTTGCCGTCAACGTGGACCTTGGCATGGTTCTAGGCGGTAGACTGAACTTGACTGAGGGCTCAGTCTTTTTATTGTGTTGAGCATAAGCAGGCTTCTCATTTGCTCGAGCCTTTTATATCTTACGATGCGCCTTGTAGAATCAAATCCGTATATATGTCAGTGTCTACTGGTAATCCCACGTACAAGTTTTCCACATTTCAGCCCTAATGTTGAAAGCCTACAAAATACAAGTCGCGACATGCTTCTGCTATTCGCATCTCTTTCTGCTTCTTGAACAGCGATCTACTTATGCCATCCACCACTGAGTGACGATGACAGGCAGATCGGTCTCGCGCACCACATGTAGATTCTAGCCACGCGCACTAGTTGGCAGACACGCTTGTTCATTCTGGGCATGCTAACCTTTCGGCCATTTGGAACTGGTGGTTTAATTTGGTATCATATTGACCTTCGTGCTGTTCCCGCCAATCCCGCAGCGTCAGCACTCGCAGCACCGAGGTCAATGTCAACGAAAGCGTGACGGATATTGGACGCCCCCCCGTTCTGTATCCAACGATGTTCTTGCGGATCACAACACCTCACGACTGTACGGGAGCACCGTCGCGCTTGTCTGGGACAGCTGGAAACAAAGCCACCTAGCAGCGCCCACAGGGTCTGGAAGAGTCCACGGCGATTGCCACAGGATGGCAGACGGGTTCACAGAGCAAAACGACGAGGCGCCGGCAGTCCTTGAATGATGAAACCCACGTCTGCCGAAGCAGAACCTTGGTGCCACGCGGCCAGGCGCGGAAATGGGACTGGCCGAGAACCGGCGCCACGGCTCGGGTGGTGTTGTAGCGTATCGTGTGCACAGCCGGCATGGCATCTAACTTGCGGGGAAGCAGACGATATGTGCATGCCAATGATCCGCACCTAGGATTCGGCGCGTGAGGGTTTCTCTGGACGTGGCCCGTGGCCATGTCTTGCTCCCGCATCCCAGCTCCTGTGCCGACGATGGTGATGCTCCAGGAGGAGGAATCGAACGGCAGCAAAACACTCATGCTACGAGCCGCTCATGGGACATCCTTGACCCCATGGCAAGCCCAAACCACCAGCCGAACGATCCGAGCTCGTCATCTAAGAGACGGGAACCATGCACGGTTGACGACGATACGGGCCAAGAGCAGAATGCTACCCCGACCATGTTGCGACGCGTGTTAGACAAGGCCGGGCTGGATCTGCCCACCTTGATAGTAATGCTCAAGTCAGAAGCCAAATCCTGTCCCTCTCCTCAAGCATTCTCTTAGTTAATAATGTCGCTTTTCAATCAGGGGCTCTATCCCCCCTCTCGTCGGTGTATCCATGTACCAGGCAACCGCGATATCCTCCTACTTCACCACGCAGGGGTATCTCATACCCATCGTATCCGTTCTCGCCGTCGCGATCCTGCCCCGAGACAAGTTCACCCAGAGCTTGATCCTAAATGTGCTCTTCATCTGCCTTGCGTCTGCCATGTCCCTCCTGGCCGTCTGGTCCTCCGTCCAAGCGCGCATTCATACTTCCTCTCCATCCGCCGCGCAGGGAGCGGTAAGCATGCCGCTGCCGTATAATTCGTCCCAGTCGGCCGTCTGCGCCGTGTGGTTATTCGTTAATATCTGGTTCGCGAACCTCGTGCGGGCCAAGATGCCTTCCTTCAATCTACCTGTTGTCATCTACAGCATCTTGGTCAATACGAGCCTGACCGCAGGCCCTACGATTGGCACGACCATGGGAGCTACGCGCTTTGTCAGGGAGCTGCTGTTGGCTAATTTATTTGGAATGGGGTTGGCTGCGGGTGTCTGTTTCCTCATCTTCCCTTTTGGCAGCCGCATGATTGTGATGGGAGAATTCAGACAGCTGATCGGCCTGTTGAGAAAGATGGTGCGTCTACAAGGTGAGCAGCTTTCCGCCTTGGCACGAACAGAGGAGCGCACCACGGACGCGATTTCAAATCATGGTGGGAAACAAGACGTCCCGCGGAAAATGAAGAACGCGCGGCTGAGGGAAATGGTGACGGCAAGAGGCAAAGCCAAACGCCGAGTTGCGACAACAGCCACTCGTCTGTCCGAGACGGTCGGGGAGATTCGCCGCCTGGCCGGCAAGTTATATGGTGACATGGTCTTTGCAAAGAGAGATTCGGCTTGGGGAAAGCTCAACGCTACTGATCTGGCGGATATATTCACGCTCATGTATAACATCACAATCCCGTTGTGAGTTTTTCCACGCTCCCTACTTGTAGCTTTGAAACGCAGCTCACCGCAGTAGAGTGGCGATCAGCACGAGCATAAGGATCTTGGAGAGAGACGACTTTGGTGGACGCGAGAAGGTCGACGGACAGCGCGAGGAGAAAAGTGCAGAGACACAAGTATGGAATCAAGTTGCTGAAAAAATACACACGTCATTCCAGCTCCTCGCGGAACCAATCGACCAGGGTCTCGAGCATGCCGGTATCTGCCTGGAGATCCTCCCCAAGTCGAAGAAGTCGCGGAACATGACACAAAGTGGAAACAGCCATTGTAATGCTGATGTTGAGGGACACGGTGGGCTGATCTACCCAGGAGATAAACGCTTTGGTGCCATGGTCAACACCAGAATCGGCCATGTATATATGCAAAGGGGTAACGTCGTCCGAACTTGGCTTTGCGAGCGGCTGTCGATGGCTGAAGACGATGCCCTTGCGAGCAATCAGCCCCAGCTCTTGGCGAGTCTGTACTCGGAGCAGCTGATGCTTGCTGCAGGCGAGGCAGTCCAGAGCCTTGTAGTCTTTGCCGACGAAAAGGCCAGCGGCGGCACCATGAGGCACAAACAGCTGATATTGCCTTCCAAACATCGGCTGTGGAGATGGCTGAAGAGTATCGTGCGAAAAAGGGACTCGGCCTCAACGCAGAACTCCGACGTCCTGGAGACGAATGACGACTATTACGGAGATGGTTACTGGGAAAAGAAGAATCCCGAACGTCTTCCTCCTGCCGGGACCTGGCAGCACATTGGAGTCGGACTATGCAAGATCTCGAACGTCTTGGGATCCAAGGAATCAGCCTTTGGATTTCGAGTCGCCTGTGCCGCCATGTCGGTAAGCATATTGGCCTTCTTGGAGGAGACCCAAAGCTTCTTTCAAGAGCAGAGACTGTTATGGGCCATTTTCACAATTGCTCTGGGCATGACACTCAGTATGTCCCATATCTACCAGCTCGAGTTTTGAGTTTTTGACACTCACAACTTTCACAGCTTCTGGTCAGTCTATTTTCGGCTTCTTCTGTCGAGTGGGCGCCACATTTCTAGCCATGGTTTCGTCACTCGCCATATGGTATATTCCCGACCAAAAGACGCCCGGTATCATTGTATTCCTTTGGTTATTCATCTTTATCGAATACTACTTCATCAAATTTCCTCGGCTTGCATCTCCCGTCATCATCACAGTTACGACTCAGCTCGTCATTGTCGGCTATGAGCTACAGGTGAGGACGCTCGGCGAAGCTGTAGCCACTCGTTCAGGGCAGCCGTATTATCCGTAAGCTCTCCCTCACGGTCTATGCTACTTGAAATGCGGCCTCAGGGCTAACGCAACGTTTTGTAGAATATACCTGCTGGGCCCGTACCGGCTCGCCGTCATCGCTGGAGGAAGCCTCGTTGCTTTCTTTTGGACGTTTTTCCCTTGCGCCTTGACAGACCGGACTTGGCTCAGACGAGATTTGTCAGCAGTCATGTACTTACTCGGCAATTACTTCAGTGTGCTGAGTTCGACAATGGAAGCGCAGTTCGAGGAGGGAGCTGGGCCAGGCGATTCAGAGACGGCAGCCACCTGCCGCCTTGTGGAAGTTCGCCGCAAGATTTTCGGTAAAGTAATGCGTCTTGATTCCTCCATCGAATCCCACATCATGTGGCAACGATGGGAGCCTAGCATAGGCGGCAGTTTTCCAACCGAGGCGTACGAAGAGATGTTTGCGCGCAACACCCGCATCACGGGATATCTGATGCTGATGAGCTATGCTTTAGCATCCGCACCGTTGACAGAGCAGACCTACACCGACACTGAGAGTACTGAACAACAGCCAGCGGGAGCTTCGGATGCCGAGGCAGAAGCGGCGGATAAACATGGGAGGCAGCCAAACGTGAAAGTTCTGCAACAAGTAGAACTAACACATCATATGGTCCTCTCGACGCTGACTATGTTGTCAAACGCATTACTTTCGGGTCAGAGATTGCCGCCTTTCATTCCAATGCCTCGATATGACGAGCCAGCAAAGAATCGAATGCTGCAGTCGGGAATTGGGGCCACTGGGGGATCAAGAGGCGACGGCAACTCAATGCGTTCCCACTCGTATTCGGACAAGCATGGAGATTTGGCCTTGAGGATGATAGATCTCCGCGAGGGACGGCATGATCGCACCACAGAGCGATACATGAGGAGCGGCCATCGATCCGGAAGAGGCGAAGTCGGCGGTACCAGCGGCGGCAGCTTCGGCAGCTCCAAAATACATGACCCGTTGACCACGGAACTTCGCGTCTACCTCTTAACACAAGTGTGCGGTGCGCTGGTGTGCGATGAGCTTGAGGCTTTGGCGCGTGTTGTGGGTAGATTAGTAGGTATCGTGGACTATGGCTCCTCCATTACTTCTGGCAACGGGGACGTTGATCTCGAAGATGACACAGAGAAGCTCGCCGTCGAGAAACCAATATCCAGGTCCAGTGCTGCTGCTTCGGCTACTTGAGCGACCGGCATGAGGCCACAATAACCACCACCAAATCAAACCTGCCCCACGTTTGATAAGTAAAAAGGATATTTCGCGTTGCAATTCCAATATGCAGCTCTTGTCGCAAACACATGAAGTGCGTTTCACAAAGGTCTCTAGAATTGTGTGACCCTACGGAACACTCGGGTGCAATGTGACATTGTCGCAACGTCTCGGGTGCCACATGTGTCGTATTCCGGCTGGATACATAGAGGATCTCACGAACGCCAAGGGCCCAAGATCGTACGGGCCTCCCGTTCCGCAAAAGCTTGGCGAATAGCT